ATGGGAGTGGCATATTGTCTTGATACTGTGGCTATAAGCACAGGAACTTAGACAAAGCCAGGTTTGAATCATGTCTTTGTCTAGCTATGTGACGTTAGGAATGGGGCTTTAGCTTCCTCATCAATAAGACTGAGATACTAAAATTTGCTTCATAAAATTACTCAGAGGACCCATACAAAACAACTAATGCATATTACTTATAATGGTCTTTGACCTATAGCTGATGACTAATAAATGCTAGCTTGTGTATTATGATTCATATCTCCCTTTTGAATTCACCATTTGTCATTATGAAATTTTCATTCTTCTAATTAGCAACATCAAGTTTCTCTTGCTAACTTATTTGTACATGCTATATCTTTTTCCATCATTGTACTATCAGTCTGTTTCTTAATATTTAAAGTGTGTCTCTTGCTGGACATGGTGGCACACACTTTTAGTCGCAGCACTCAGGAGACAGAGGCAGACATATCTGTGAGTTTTAGGACATCCTGGTCTACATAGTGAGTTCCAGGACAGCCAAAGCTGCATAGTGGGACTCTGTCTCAAAATAAGTAAATAAATAATAAATTGTGTATCTCTTATAAACAAAATTTATTATTTTACTCTCCTTTGACCCTTTTTGTGTCTCCATTGACCTGTTTAGTCCATTTACATTTAATGTAATTATTAATATAGTTGTGTTCAACTCAAGGATAATGTTTTGGTTATGATCCTCTCTTAGAATGAGACTAAATCCAATCTGAGGATGTATGCCAAAGCCTCCAGCTTTGGTAGGGCCTGAATCTCCTCCACATTATGTGGGAATCAAAATGAGTTGATTCTGTTAAGCATGGTAGCTGCGGTTTTCCCTTCAACTATACCTAGTAGTTTTGGGGTGCATTGCTATCTTCCCATTGCCATGACAAAATACCTGAGGTGAAGGGAGAAAGTTTGTCTTGGCTCATATTCTAGATGCTTCACCATATGGTCACTTGGCTTTATTATTTTGGATCCTGTGGTGAGGAGTACATCACAGAAGAAGTACATGGAAGGAACAAAGTTTCTTAATTAATGGTAACTTGGAAGCAAAAAGAAAGATGAAGAGGCTAAAGTCCCAATTTCCCATTCAAGAGCATAACCCCCAATGATCCAAAATTCTTCTGCTAGATTCTACCTCCTAGTGGTTCCCTGTCTCTCAATAGATCCAGGGCCTAGTGACCTGGTCAACATCCAGTCCTTAGAGGATACTTGGCACAATAACCATAACATGTTCTCTGCTCAGGAAACAGCCAGCAATTCAAAGGAGACCTTGTCTGTGGATTTTAGCCACCCATCTCTATCACTTTATCTTCAAGTTCCAACACCTCTAAAGTTTTTCATCTCAGTCCAGAACCTGCTTCTGGCTGTCACCCCATTGGGGGAAACCAGGCTGAGCTAGTCTCACATGGTTGCACTTTCTCAGTAACCAGACCCTCTCAGATCCCACCTGGATTAAGACATTGCCAAACCTTTCAAACATTTGCCTTATACTTTTTTTTTTTTTTTCACCACTAGCTTTATCATAATCTGGCAGAGAAATTAATCTGACACAAGCCTCTCTCTCCATGTGAAGAACCAAAAGCCTTATGCTGTTTCCATTTGTTGAGCCCATCTCAAGATTGTTCAAATAGATGGGAAACATTTTTCTTGGCACACAAGTAAACTTGGTCCTACATCATTCTACAGAAAATGGATGATGTTACAGACAATAGCAAGGCTATCTAAGATATTTAACTAGTGTCTGGATTTGCTAAGAATGACATGGTCTTGAGAATATGAAAGAATTTAGGTATTCAGGATCTACTGAAGCTCAACTGAAGAAGGTATTCTTTTCAAAGGTCAGTAAACTGAGCTTAAGAAGCCAAACAAAGTAAAAAAACAACATAATGAGTGATGGGTGAGAAAGGCATTCTGAAGACTTAGGCAGTTGCACTCTACAGGAACGAGGCCAACAAGAATATTTATAAAGTATGAAGCTGATAAATTGAGGAGCTACAAATAGGACCCACTGTTTCTTGGGAACAGATGGATGTCACCTATGCTTTACCTGCAACTCAAGAATGCAGGGTCCTTAGGTGGGGTGAGACAAATCCCTCTGGTGTCTTCAGCTTTGTCCACACCCAAGTGAGTAACCTTGATTACCTGGAAACATTGTTTTCTATAGGGAATTTATTTCTCAATCATGGTTTGTCAGCCAGGGCCCTGTCCTGGAGCTTGAGTTACAGTGGGCTGGAAGCTGCCTAACATGGGTTCTAGCAAGCAAATGCAGAAAGAGAAGGAAGCATGCTTAAGACTACCTGCAGAGCATCTCTCGCCTCTCCCCCCCCCCCATCTGTTATTTTAGCACAGGGTTAGTGTAAGATTTTGAGAAAATAAAACAGCAAAGAGGGAATGTGGTGGAGTCATACAAGTGGCAACTGCAGGCATCACCACCACGCTACAGTGAGTGAGGCAAACCAGAGAGCTGCTGCCATAGCACAGGTTAGAGAGGGGCCTGAGAGGGGACTTCAGGCTCTGAAGAGGAGCCCAGGAGCACGGCTTACGACTATGGGATTAAGAAGGGACTTGTATGTAGCACATATTTTTAACACACATGATATTGGATAGAATAAAGCCCATTAGTGACAGCTTTGGGAGTTCACTTTAAAATATGCAATTGAGAATTGATTTAGACTTGTGACTTTTTTATGGTATATCTAAGTTTACCTAGAATAAACTCATTTAATGAACTTGCAATTTTCCTCCTAAGCTCAGTTTATAAGCTTCCATGCCAAAAAACCAGAGGTATTTAAAGGAGGATATTAAATCTGTACATTTGCTTAAAGGTGTGTGAAGTGTTAGGCTGAGCTCATAAACAGGACTAAGCATTATTCAAAGGCTGCTTGGAAGTTATTGCTAAAATCTGCCAGATTTATAAATAGAATAATCAAATCTGTCATCCAAATGTAAAGCCTAAAACAGGATTTTGAACCTGCTTATTGGCACTAATGGCAAATATATTTGTTAAATTCATAATGGTTACATTCAAAGGACTAAATTTTAAAGCTACATGCAAACAAGTAATATGGAAGGGAGGCACGAACCACCCAAGCTTATTCTGTCTAGGACACTGGACTCTCCTTGGCCAGCTCTTATCCATGACTCTCCTTGGCCAGCTCTTATCCATGTCTTCTGGAAGTGGCCAGTCTTTAGCTTCCCTGGAAACCACAAAACTATCACTGGTTAGCTCCAGGCTTGGCTGCTCTGTTCTTCCTTTTCTCTCAAACCAAGATGCCTCCTGGAGCAAGATGCCAAAACACTAGAGTTGGGGCTTAGATTCCAATCACTCCAGTCTCCAAGGAAGCAGCTGCCTCGGCCATTTTTCCCTTACTGTATTTCTAGCACCAAGAAAAGTGCTTGTTGCAGTGGAAACTGCCCCTGGGTATAATGGATAACTTGGCATGTAAATGGCTGGTACTGTGGTATATACCACCACGCCATAAATATGCTGGTGACTATAAACCAATACACTCTATTAATCTCATAGCTCTACAACTTAGAAGTCTGGCATGGTTCTCACTGAACTAGAACCAAGGTGTCAGAGCAGTGTTGCTTTCAGAGAGCTCCCAGACAAAATGTTTCTTGCCTAGGAAGCTTCCAGAGACTGCTCCTATTCCTCTGTTAAGGCCTTACTTCACCACTGAGGTAGAACGACTGCCCAATGACCATGTACCAGTACAACTACAGTGTAATTAATCAGCTAAGAGAGCCTCTCCAAACACTTTCGATAAGCCTTCTGAGGCCTCAGACTAATACTGTCCTTCTAAAAGTATTTATGCAGAGAGTAAAACATTATAAATTTCTTCTGTCAAATAGAATCAGAAAGGAATACTCAAGGAGCCCATAATATAATACAGTAAGCATTCCCTCTAGGTCAAACACTCTGGAAGAAAAGGAAAACCTCTTGAAGTGCTTTCTTCGGTTTCTACAGTCTACAGATGAGATGCTTCTCCAGAAAAACTTGCCTACCCAGTCTAGGATGGCCAAAGACACCAAGGACGGAGGCCTGGCTCTGGAGAGGAGGCAACAGGACAATGGAGCAAGTCACTCACAGGCAGTGCCAGGAGTTTTGAGGGCAGAATGCACAAACAAAACAATGTTTATTGTCTCTATTTTGGAAACAGACAATAAAAAAGGAGTTCAGTTTGTGGGTTCACTCAGAGGTCAGGGCTGGGATTACTGTCACTAAACTTCAACCTAGGGAAACCCCTGGCATAGATAGCAAGATGAATCTCCCTGGCATCAAGGGGAGGAAACCTGGTTAAACCACTCTGGCAATATGTCTGATGGCCAAAGCCCACAAATGCCATAAAATGTTGATGTGTACAGTCTGGGATATTTATATATTAATACCAGGTGTGTCCAAAGAGAAACTTGTACAGTGTTTAAAGTCAACAGCAATGGAGTTCGACTGCCTGTACACTTTCAATACAAGAGTTCATGTATTATACTGACAATTGCTGTCCTCGGCGGAGACAACCAAGATAAGGAAAACAGCAGACTTAAAACATGCACTGTTAACTTATCAATGAAAACAGCAATTCCAGACATGACTAATTAATTACTTTGCCTGGATCAACAAATAATCTCAAGTGTGTGTTTGGTGTACTAACAAGGACCTAGCCACCAATTAAGTTAAATAAACTGCAATGTTCTGCCCACTAACACATGTTAATTAACTTATGGAGACCTTTTTTCTTGTTATTTTGTGTGTGTCTGAGTGTATGTACACACAACGCATACATGTAGGTGTCCTCAGAGGATAGAATAGGGCATCAGATACCCTATGATGTAGATGCTGAGAACTGAACCCACATTTTCTGGTCTTCTGTAAGAGCAGAAAGTGTCTTTGAGCACCAAGCCATCTCTCCAGCCCCCAACCTGTAGACTTTAAATACCACATACAGAAATGCTAGTTTTTTATTGAAATTTTCAAAGAATTTGAATATTTCTCTTTGTGTATGAGTGTGTGTGTGTGCACGCGCGTGCACACACATAAGGGTTCACACATTGTGTGTACATGTCTGGGTACGTGTGTGCAAGTGCATGAGCACAGGTATGTGACATTTAGACATTTCTTTTTATCATTTTCTCTTGGAAGGACAACACTAAAACATTTTTTAAAATCAGATATCTGAAGCAGAACCCACCAAAGCACAGCTGTGTGGCAATTTAGAGCTTTGCTCAGAAGGGAGACACTATCCAGGCTTGGCTTAGCATGAACTGTCTCTTTTTCCATTGGTGGCTTATGTGTTGAGATTCCATTAACCAGATTTCCAAAGACTGACCAGATCCTGAGAGGCCGGCATATACAAAGAGCAGGATCAGGAGAAACTTTCTACGTTTTTCTCAGCTTCTATTAACAAGACCAATAGACAACTATAAAGAAAAAGCCAGGGATTCAACATAGACAAGGAAAGTTGCCCCTCCCCAGTATGGAGGGAGCATTAGGAAAGACCTAACACAGTAACAAAGTCTGCTGCCTCAAACAACATCATGAGACAGACGTGACAGGAATCCCAGACATTTCTGCATACTTCTGTAATGTCAAGGAATAATAATGTCAAATAAAACATGTCCACATGCCCATCTCTCTGTGACCACGTAAAGCACAGATGTATTCGAGTCACTACACTTCTCTGCTCAAGAGGCAGGCTCCTAATTCCAGCGCAGCTGTCCCCAAAAGACCCTTAGAATACCAGCCACTCCAGACGGGTTTGGCTCCCCCGGAGCTCTGAGGTACGTGAGTCCCTCCAACTACTGAGCCTTGTGTTCTGAGCTGTTTCATCACCTTTTGAAGGGGGCCACTTGTGTTTAGTCTGCAAACACTCTCCACTGGAAATGAACAGTGCAAGGTCCTACGTGCAAATATTTGCAAACTTTGTTTTTTTTTTTTTTTTAACAATACACATTTTACAGATTCAAGTGAAATCCAGGTACAGACTAGGTTAGTTGTTGTCAGCCAGCCTCTCATATACACAACAGGAAAGTGGTCAGTTCCTAAAACCAGAGCAGGAGTAAGGCACTGGTGACTGAGAAGGTTCACTCATGGAGTCTGGGAAGAAGCCTGAGAGGGCTGTGCCAGCCTGCTAGATTCTCCTAGGTGAAGTCCTTCATGTAGACATCACATGACATCTGGACATATGTAGAAATGGACCCTCTCCCACGAGTAGGATAATGCTTTCAAGGTAACTGCAATTAAAAATGATATGAACACATTCCCAGGGCCATGTGTGACATGGCTATAGTTGACTTTCATCCTATACAGAACCTCTACTATTCTTTCCACCCATTGGCTTCTGCTTCATGGCATCTTTAGGGGAACTGCAAAAGCTGGCACAATCTAGATGCTCATGTGTGGTCCAACCTTATGCTATGGTAATGCCAGAGCATTATATAATAGGAACATCAGCCAGTCCAATAGGATGGGAAGGGCCTAGCGATGAGGATCCCAGTGATGCAGGGGAGGCTGAACATTGGGAGAACAGTGGCATGAGGAGCTAGTCACAGACACCAGAGTGTGGTGGCTTACAGGTATTTCCTGAGGGCATGGAGACCTGGCTTGTGCCCTAGGGAATAAGGCAGTGTTGCTCAAAGCAAGAGCCCTGTGGTGATCCATGAAGGAGAAACACCTACACAGTCCTCATCCTGGCTTCAAAGTAGGCATGGGGAGACCCTAGAGGAATCAGCTCAGCTGAGGGAAGCACAGTTCATCCCTGAGTCCTCCTGGCTACCACTTGCAACATCTTCTAGTCCCAGTTCATCAGGGCTATCTAGGATGCTGGGCTCACTGGAGCACTGACGGTGTGGTGGTGGGAAGCTGGGTGGCAGGAGCAGGTGCTTGTCCTCACTGCCAGCCTCCTCCCCCAACCCTGAGTGCATCATGGTGGCCATGGCCAGCAGCTGGATGTCCGAGTGGGCATTGGCCACTGTGTGCCTCCGAACGCTACCACACTTCTCCAGGTACGCCTCTCCTTCCTGCTCTGTTAGTGGAGTCAGGACCATCTCCCGGCCAACCGAGCTCATCAGAGAGGCATAGTTGAGGACTGTCACTTTAGGCCGGACCCTGGAATGCCTCCGGGCTGCAAGAGAAAAAGCAGCAATGTTACTGAGGGAAGGTAGACAGTGACCAGAAGCTTCTCCTCAGATGGAGAGGGAGGGAGGAAATAGCTCAGCCTCTGGGAATAGCTTTAGGGAAGAGCCCACTGAATGCAGTGGAGGACAGGACCATCTAAATGTCATGCAGCTTTACCTGTTTACACCAGATCCTGTATGAAGTCAACCAGAAACCCACAATGAACAGTCACTTAAAACTTTCCTGGATGGAGCAAACACAAACGCCCCCCCTTTCCTAGTGCCGTCTGAGCCTCGACAAATTGCCTCTAATTCCATTGTAACCTTCTTCCCTGAAGATGTACACATTAGCTAGGGCTTCAGAACCCTGCTCAGAAGGTGACAGAGGTCTGTATGTCAAGAAAGTGGTTACCTTGCAAGCCCGAGGACCTGCGTCTAATCCCAGGACCAAGCAAAAAGGCCAGATGCAGTGACCTGAACTGGTAAGTCCAGAGCTGGGAAGGTGGGGACAGATAGAGCCTAGCCTATCTGGCAAGTTCCAGGCTAGCAATGAACACTTTCCTAAAAACAAACAAACTCAAACCAAAGTCCAAACAAACAAACAAATACACAGGGGCTAGGGAGATCACTTAGTGGATAAAGCATTTGCTGCAAAAGCCTGAGGACCAGAGTTTGGATCCCCAAAACACGTGTAAATACTGGTTAGGTATGGTGCCTACACTCAGAAGGGAGAAACAGGAGATCCCTAGAGCAAGCCACCAAGCTAGACTAACCTGTATCAGTGAGCTCTGGGTTCAATTGAGAGCCCCTGTTTCCATGAACCAAGTGGAGACTACTAAAGGAGATTCCCAATGTCAACCTTGGATCTCACACTGTTGCTTTTTAGCACTATGTTCCAGAAGATGCAGAAACTTCATAGGCATGAGGCTTTTGTGCTACAAGCCTGTTGTCTCAGCTACACAGGGAGATGAGACATGAGGATGTCAAATTAAAAGCCTGCCTGGGCTACAGAGCAAGTTCAAGGCCAGTTTGAACAACAGAGACTCTGTCTCAAAATAAAGTTTAGAGAAGGCCGATGGTATAGTTCAGTGGTAGAGCATTTACCTAGCATGAAAAGGACCTAGGTTCAAATCTCATAACCACTAAATAAATAAAGTATTTAGCATATGTTCTGGACTCCTGCTAGAAGCTGAACCTATTATCATAGCATATTGAGATAGTGTTGTTAGCCTCTACTTTAAAGAGGAGAAAACTGAGTATCAGAGAGGTAGGAATTTACCCAAGGTAACACAGCTAGAATACAGCCAAACTGGAAATTGATGAGTTCTGCATCACTCCAGACCCTGCTTTCCCTAGCTGCTCATACAAAGCCCACCAAGAAATGTTACAGGCAAAGAAGCTTGAGGGAGGACAAGCCAGTGGCATTCACAGGCAGGAAAAAGTGTCTAGGACAATCAGGATACTGGTTAAGGATGTATGCTGGAGTGCTAGAAGGTCTTGAAGAGGATGATGTATGATGAGGCAACATGCTGAATGGTGAGACTAGCCTGAGCAAGTCGCTGGATGAGCCCTAGGGTCACAGCCTTGCAGGAACTCAACATACAGGAACTAAGTGTGTCCTGGGGGGGGGGGAGGAGGGGGCTATGATGGCAGGTGAAGTATCTGTAATACATGGGATAGGCTGGAGAGAAGATAGGGTAGGGTAGGGTAGGGTAGGGTAGGGTAGGGTAGGATAGGATAGGATAGGATAGGATAGGATAGGATAGGATAGGATAGGATAGGCAAGGCAAGGGTAGGCTAGGCTATGTTTCAGGAAAGGGCGCTAGCAGAGGATGCAGTATGGGCTACTGCCAGAGAAACAGTCAGAAAAGCCAGGGAGGGAGCAGAGATACAAGGAAAAATGCTAATAAAAGTAAAGAGGTGGCTCACAGGAGAGAATCATGGGGATGAAGGTGAAGGTGACAATGGGCCGAGGACACCAGTTACTGATACTACAGAACTCATGGGGTGGGCTGTGGAGGAACAGGACCCAGGGTGACTTGAGCCAGCACCCTCTGAACTCAGGTAATAGCAAGGGCCACCCCACCCCATAGGTGCTCACCAAGAGACTGGTGTCTTGAAGGAGAAATTAAATATAGAATGTCAACGGAAAATGAAAGAATCTGTGCACAGCACTTGTTCCCTCAGAGACACACATTGCTATAATGTTCTCACATTCTGAGAACAGTCATGGGTTACTTTTACACTCATAAAAATGGATACTCCTACAACAGAAGTGAAGAAGACTTCACAGCAGCAAGGACCCAGCTAAAGAACAAGCCTCCAAACAATGCCACTAGCAATAACTCATTTCTCACACTACTTTTACAACCATACATTGTGGACCAGCTGGAGGGAAACCCACAATCGGCCCAGCAGCTTCAGAGGACATGTACTAGAAGCCAGTCTCTGTTCCTGAGGCAGGGCACTCATCTGAAATGTATGTATGCAGAAGCCAGAGCCAAAGAAAAGACGGTGCTTTTAGCTGTGAGCATTACACCCAGAAGCTAGGCAATCATCCTCTAGCTGAGGAAGAGATCTACTGAAAGCATCACACAGATAGGAGGTTGAGATGCTATAAACACTAAAACCTGAGACAGACAGATTAGTCAGTACGGCCATCCAGGCGAGGACAGTGTTGGAGCAGGGGCTGGTGCTGGGGAGGACACAGGAGATGCTGAGGGAATGCAGACTCGTGTGTAGCAGAGACACACTGCATCGCTGGTTAAAGGATTTTCATGGACCTCAACTTGCTGGGATGAGCCCAGGAGAAGTGTCTCTGAGGGTTTTCTGGACATCATCCATTTTTCACTGCAGTCAAGTCATTGAAGGGTTCTATAGGCAGTGAATTAACAAAAGGCCACTTTGGCTGAGGCTGAAAAGAGCTGAGAATTGAAGACGAGGTGAGACTGAGACAGTCTAGCAGGGTGGGAGTGGGACGTGGAGAACCTTAGCCTTCAGCAAACACTTCCAGAGCTACACTTTGCAAAATGCTGCACTACCTGCTGAAAAGAAGAGAAGCATGACTTTGCTAGAGAGTGGGGGTAGGAGGGAGCAGGAGAGGCCTGTGGGGAAGGGGGGTCCGAGTCCAGCTGCAGGTCTGTGGTAGGTACCCACCAAGTGCCGAGCACTGTGCCCCAAAGGAGCACACCATCACCATCGTCTCCCAGTAAGTTGCAGAAGATGAACGTGAAGTCTGCAGTCACCATTACGTACAAAACTGAGACCCTAGTCTGGGGCCACAGCGGAGCTGCTGCATGTGACTTTCACAAGCTAGAAAGAGATCATGATGTTTGGTCAAGAGAAAGGTATCTCTGGCCTGCTCGCAGACCTAACATTTTAGTGGGTCAGAATCTATGACCTGGCCAAGGACTACCGCTAGCAAAACATGGTCAATTAAGCCATGCTAAAGAGATAGGTAGAATTATTATCCCTTTAATGAGATGCTATACTTTGCCTCCCAGAAGCCCCACTCCTAACACAGCTGGGTCTGCCTACCTTTCTGAGCAGGTGTAACTTTTCCTTTGCCCTCCCCTCCCCAGCCTCCATTCACTTTCTTTTGGATGTTTACTACTTTCTGTACTACAGGCTTCCTTGCTCTTATCTCTAAAACACTCCAGTCCCCGCCAAGAGGCTACTTGGTGCCATGAGGCATTCCTCCATCCCAGTCACTCAAACAGCATGCCCACCCTGTCTTCTCCATTTTCCTCCTCCAGGCAGCTGCTGAGATTTACAGCTCGCCTGCCCTGGGCTTTTGTTTTTTATTCTTTTTCTTTTTAATATTTTTATCTGTTCTTTAAAATTCAGTGCACTGTGTTTTTTTTTTTTTTATCACATTCACCTCTAAACCCTCTCTCTAAGTCAAGCCAGATCCACTCACCCTCCTACTAACTTTGAGTCCTTTTATTTTATTTTATTTTTTTCATTTTTATTTTTTTATTTTTGAGACAGGGTTTCTCAGTGTAGCCCTAGCTGTCCTGGAACTCAAAGATCCACTAGCCTCTGCCTCCCAAGTGCTAGGATTAAAAGCTGGAGCCACCACTGCCCAACTAATAGGATTTTTTCATTTCAACTCAGATAAAGTTGTCCAGTTTTCTCTTAAAATTTTACTAATTTTATTAATGAGATTAAGAACCCCAAAAGGGGATCCTGGTCCCCCTGATATCAATGTGACAAATGTCAGAACAGAAGGAACAAGAGTATCCTGGAATTCCAGATAATCTTGTGTAGGGTGTGTGTATGTGGTACATATGTGTACACATGTGTGAACATGCATATGAAGGCCAAGAGGTTGCAATCTGTATCTTTCTCAAACATTTCACCACCTTATTCTTTTGAACCTCTCTCTCTCTCTCTTTCTCTCTCTCTCTCTGAACCTGGGCCTCATCAATTAAGCTAGACTAACTGGCCAGCAAGCCCCAGGGATCCTGAACCTGGGGTAAAGTGTGTGTACCACCATGCTCAACGTTTCAATGTGGATTCTGGGGGATTAGGTTTGAGTCCTTACTCTTGCATGGCAAGCACTTTACTGACTGAAGCATTGTTAAGACTCAAGACACACAGACCTCTCTAGGGCTTGGGGTACAAAGAAGAATGTGTCCCATGTCTTGCACAGTCTAAGGGGAGGACAGACAGATCATGGCAGCACAGTGTGACAGGGTTTGGAGTGCAGGGAAAGATTAGTAGGTGACTACACTTGAAGGAAGAGTGGGGTTCAGGTTTCTCCGGAAGGGGCCCATAATACAACATGGCTCAGCATCCCTTGGCCCCGCCCCCCAGTGCTGCTTCTTCCTCCTGCTCCTCCCTGCAGAAGGCCAGAGCTGGTGCTCAAGCCACATGCAGGTTACAGAGGGTAGGTAACTACCACCAGACAACACAGCAGAGGCTTGGCCCTCGTGGTCACTTAGGCCCCACTGTTTGCAAGCTGCCTCCTCTCTTCTCCTGTAGCGACCTGCGGGACAGGCCTACAGCTAACTAGCCCTTCCTTCTGCTTTTTTGGAGAATCCCAAGATGATGCTGGAAGAACCAAGGCCACAAGAACCTCATGTTCTGCCAAGTGCCCAGCAGACAGTGATTCCTCGGTGAGCTGCCAATCGCCAGAGCTGATCCTCAGATAGTCAGCAGATCAGTGACTCCATCAGTCGCCCTCCTTGGAGAACCTGAAAGCCAAAGGCCTGGGACCTGGGCTGATAGGCAGGCAGCTTCCCACCCTTGGGCTATCATCTTCCCCCTCTTTTCTTTGCACCAGGGATGGCCGACAGTACTATGTCCCCAAGGAAAGGGAACAGAGTCTCCCACTGAGGGACTGACTGTGACTCTCTTCCCTGGCAGTAGGGTACTTTTGTGGGGAGAGGCTGGTCTGCCATCCCCTTCCTCCTTGACTTTTCACAAGGTAGGGTGAGCAGAGCCTGTATTTATTCTCTTCCCCCAGCCCCCCAACCAGACCAAGTATTCATCCCCATAAAAGCCAGCAATGGCGGCTCCTTTCAGACTCCTAGGGCAGCAAAGCTGTAGGGCCGTCCTTTGTGGGAGACTGGCTCCCCCAACAGGCCTTTGATCTTCTCCCAGAATGCCCCTGCCTACCAAAGCCATTGAGGAATCCTGCTCTAGTCCAGAACCTGAGAGGCCCAGGCGACCTTTGTCATGCAGAGAAGCTAGTGTCCTGCTACAGGGCTGACTACAGAGGGGCCCCAGGGATACAAAGGAGGGAGGTTGTGGGAAGCTAGGGCTTTTGTGAGGGAGGAATCTAGCCTCCTGCAGTTTGCTGCAAAGGAGGGGCCCTGAGAGGCACAGGAAACTCCAAGCAGCTCAGGAATTTGGGTAACTTGAAAGGTAGCACTTAGATCAGGCATGTGTTTTTGTTGTTCTTTTAGTTTCACGGTTGCCCTCCTTACTTGATACTGCCATTGTCTTCTTTTAATTCACAAAAAAAAAAAAAAAAAAAAAAAAAAAAAAAAGAGGATTTGGAGGAGAGGGCTTGCAAATGTGTGCACACCACACACACACACACACACACACACACACACACACACATTCAGGTTTCTTGAATTAGATCACTTCTCTTGTTCTAAAGCAAGACTCCCTGTCCTGGTCTAGCTCCAAGGCCAGCAAGTGATTGCCCCAGCATATCAGGAGTCGAAGATGCAGGGCACACAGCAGGGATACAGGGTAAATACCTTTCTTTCCTGCAAAGCTAGGATAGCTCTCAAGATTTCCAAGAATAACAGTAGCACCACCCTCCTCAGGCCATGCACACCTGCCAATAAGTAGTGTGCAGCATGGCCATTGGTTGAGTGGCTTTTCAAATGATGTCCCAGCTGTCTTGGCAATATCATGCTGCTCTGGTCTCAAAAGCCACAGCCCAGCCCTTTCTCAGATAAAAGGATCTCTCATGACCCTGATGAGGCTCTTAAAAGTTTCTCATTGTCCATTTTTTAAAAAGTATGTGTATGCATGTGTGTCCATGGTGGGTATGTGCACCTGAGTAAGTGCACACACAGAGGTCAGAGGTATTGTAATCTCCCTGGGGCTAGATTTACAGTGATGGCTTGTGGTGGTTTTGAGAAACTGACCTTGGGTCACCTGCAAGAGCAATATGTGTTCTTAACCTTTGAGCCTCTCTCCAACCCTTCAATTATTGTCTTAATACCCCTCTGCCCTGGACTGTATGAATGCTATCTTCACCATCAATAGAGGGCTCTGTCCCCAAAGGGTAAGGAAGGTCACCTCAGCTTTTAACATGTAGAGGTCTGCAATGAAATGTCTGGCCTGGGACGGCTCCTGGACTAAAGAATAGTGGCATTGGTGATCCTGCCCTTATAATGCAGGGAAGGTGACCCTACTCCACAGCCCATCCACAACAATGCCTATGACTTGGCTTTGTGACCCAGCGCTGTTTCTTGCCACTAGTAACACTAAACCTCTGAAGCTCCTTAAGTTCCTCAACTACTCCATCCTCTGGCCCTCCCACAAATCCCTAGTCCTTCCAGTGGTCCATCCTGACCATTGGACTCTCCCTTCCTCTGGGTTACTCAGGTAACTCCTGCACTTCCTCCAGGGAGCCTTCCCCAGTGTCCTGTCTAGGTGGTCCCAGTGCTTTTCCCTCTGAGCTGAGTATCCCTATACAGATGAGTCCCTGCCTTACCTTCACCCTCACTGGACTGTGAGCAAGGATAGATCCCATTTTGCTTACTGGCACATACATCTGTAGCAGCACACAAGGTGCCTGGCAGAGAGTCTGACGACACGGTCTGCTGAGATTCTTATTAGGTGGAATAATAATATTTTTTAAATTGAAAAGTCCTTTTCAAAACCAAGGACTGGGCTAGCAGAATGGCTCGGCAGGTAAAGGTGCCTGTCACCAAGCTTGTCAGCCTGAGTTCAAACCCCAGAACCCATATGATGGAAGGAGAAAATGGTTTCCCACAAGCTGTTCTCCGACTGCCATACTTGGGTTGTGGCATGTGTGGATGAGAGAGTGTGCATGCACACAAGTGCACACATACATAAGTAAATAAAATAAATGTAATTTTTAAAAAAATACACTGTCCATCATAGAAGAATAAAGTCTCAGGGCTCACCTCATCTGACAAAAGCATATTATTGTTCCCATTTGGGCTAGAGAGCCAGACATAGCTAGTCTTAGAGTTCTCATATCTTCTCTTGTTCCAGTCATGGGAGACCAGAATGTGCCTCATGAAGTGGGGGCTGAAGAGATGGGGTAGCAGTTAAGAGCACTGGCTGCTCTTTCAGTGAATCCAGGTTCAATTCCCAGCAGCACACGATGGCTCACAACCACCTGTAACTCCAGTTCCAGGGGAATCCATGCCCTTTCTGACCTCTTTGGACACTTGAAACACAGGAGTACACATACAGGCAAAACACCCATATATGTAAAATAATGAAACAATTTAAATATTAGTGAACTATAGACAATGAAGAAGTAGGTTCAAGCTGGAGGATCAAGTTCAAGGCCATCCTCAGCCACATAGTAAGGTTGAGGCCAACTTGGGCTACATAAGACCCTGTCTCAAAAAATTATTGCTCTATTAAAAATATTACATAAACAGGAATTCAAAGCCAACTATTTGAAAACTACTTGTTCCCTGGATGTCTCTCCTGCATGTAAGAACACATGTTTCAATACACTTGTTTGTTTTTCTCGTTAATCTGTTACAGGGATCAGTTCCAACTAAGGACTTAAGGGGGTTGAAGGAAAGTTATTTTTCTTCCCTTCTGTTAGCGTTAGGCCCTGAATATGGTAGCACTCTTGGCATAACTCAGCTAACCTGCTGCCATCCTGATATCTCCCTGGGTCCCCATCCCTGAAATAACATGAGCTCAGGCAGTAATAAAGATGGTAGGTTGTATGGAGACTGCAGCAATATAGCATCCAACCTAGGATAGAGGGTGGGGGACTGTCTCCCTTCAACGGCTTTCTGATCTTATGTGATGGGAGTGAGGAAGAGATCAGAGATTGAGGCTGTGGGCAGACCTGGGGATCAGCTGACTGGAGCCAGCCTCCTCCAGTCTGTGGATGCAGTGAAGCTAATACCTCTAGAGAGACAGGATCCAGGCCAGGAAAACTGCCAGTAGAAGGCTCAGCCTTACACTCAGAGAGACCCAAGAAGGGCATCAAGCTCTCTGGAAACTGTTCCTTGCCCCCTCAGCTTTGAAGCTCTACCACAACTCTACTGCAGGAGAAAGAGGGCCAAAGTTTCCAACCCAGGTGATGTTTCCTCATCTGCACCTTTCTGTGGGTGCCAGCTGCCATGCTTAGGAATACAACTGCCTGCATGGGTCTAACAAGAAATAAACCCTTTCCTCCCAGAGTTGCATTGGTCATGGTATTTGATGATAGCAATAGTAACCATGACTAAGGAAAGTATAATTTTAAAAATACAGTTTCTGGTATTAGAAGGAAAATTAATGTTCAGGCACATATAAAGATCAAAGTCATTGATCAATGGTATGGATGAGATGGGTACCACTACAGAGACCGGGATCTGAGGAAGACTGGCAGAGGCACAGGGTTGCAAGGAGCATCTGAAATTAACACACCAAGATTTTCACTAGCCTTCACTGGAACAAAGTGCTGGGCAGACAGTTGGTGCTTGGCACCATGGGGTAGGTATCATTATCCCCAAGCCTCCAGACTTTAAAGCCATGTTCTTCTTACCCAGTGAGTATGTGGGGCCTGAGCAGCTTCGGTCCCCACTGATGCCAAGGAAGGGAGACACCACTTGCTTCACCAGCTCCTCCAGCTGCAAATAGCCCTCAGTTGGGCCTGTGGGCTCGTGAACACTCTACGAATAAACACCCAAGACAGGTAAAGGTTAGTGAAAAGTGTTACAGCAGTGGACACTTGTCAGCGCCTGCCAGTAGTCCTCCTCTGAGTACAAGGCAGTGGCCAGAGTCAGGCTGCTTGTGGTTAGAATGAAGGAAACAGACCAGAAACACTGGTCATTTGTCCCGAGTCAATGGATGAGAATGAAAGAGGACAGGAAATGGAGATGAGGCAATAGGTGGGAGGGAAAGGATAAATGCCAGACTTAGGGCTGGCTCTCCCAGGTCCATGGGCGATTGGTACACAGCCCCTCTGCCAGCTTGCCTAGCAAAACACAAATGACAGGTTCCTGGCCAGTACGAAATGAAGATGCAGGACCCTCAGTAAGGATGCTGAGTGGGAGATGAGAGAATAATTAAATCAGAAACTAAGAGGCAAGTGGATTTCTGAGTTTGAGGCCAGCCTGATGTACAGAGCAATTTCCAGGACAGCCAGGGCTACACAGAGAGACCCTGTCTTAAAAAACAAAACAAACAAACAAATAAACCAGAAACTGAGCTTTCTAAGAACAATTTCTGGGTTCTCCCCTGACCATGTTGGTAGCACAGTCCTAACTCTGGATCTAAAGGGGAGGGGTGGCAAGGCCCAACAATTATTGCACCCACGAAAGAGTGGTGAACTTACCTGCAGCACACAGACACTTAAAAGCATTGCCTATATACTAACATGCAGGCCTCCCAACAACCCTTCCAGTGACCAGAAATAACACCAGGAGGAGGCTTAGGAAACTTGCCTAGTATAACACAGCCAACAAATGACAAAAACAAAGAACAATAACAACAAAAGTCCCACTGTACTGAAATCCAAGCTATCTGGCTCTGAGCCCATGTGACTGTCACTTGTTACCAGGTTAGAAAATAGAGAAAAAACACTGAAAAATCCTGAACAGGAGAAAGGGGGAGTGGTTCTGGGTCAGATATCAGCAGTCCAGCATGGCCAGAGTCCTCAAACTAAGCCTTGGGCAAAAGCCAACCAAAATACGTGCATGGCAGCCAAAGCTGGAAAGGGACTGGTAAAAACCCGCTTTCTAGAAAACCAGCAGGCTCCTTGTGAACCAGTTTCTCACTGGAAGGGGTGTGAAGATGTGCCCTCCTACTGAAGGATGGCAAAGACCCAGAGACTACCAGGAAAGGGACAAGAGCCTGAGGAGGAAAGGAGGGAGGCTCCAGGGTTCTCTGGGCTTAGCCAGAAAGATTATCTCCTCAAGTATAGACCCGGATTTGCTTTCCTTAAAGAGCTAAAGCTCACCATGACTCCTCCCCCAAGTTGTCTGTGGGATGAAGCAGGTGGGGCCCATTTTGATGATTAGCGATCCATTGGTGACACATGGTTCCCAAGGGAATAAGATCTTCCTTGGTCAGCTACATCCAATGAGATGTATATGCTTGGATGTTGTATGCTTTAAAGAAACAAGAAACCTAAGAAGAAGCTACAGGTGTAGGCAGAGTTTGCTGTCTGTGACAAAAAAAAAAAAAAAAAAAAAAAAAAAAAAAAAAGAGAGAGAGAAGTGGCAGGTGCAGTAAGTGACTGTTCATTGGGATGAACTTGACTGTGGCACTAGGAATAGCCATGGCGATTCTCCACATCCTCTGTTCCAGCTCCACTCCCCAATGCTTAGCATTGGAAAGGAAAAGGAAATTAAGTCGCTTTACTTAGGAAGACACGTGAAGGCCTACTCAAATGGGGGGGGGGGGGGTTACTCAAGCAGTTGGAAGAAAAAAGGGCAAAGTGTTCCAAGCCATAAAACCCCCTTCATTAGTTCTCAAAGCCTGGGAAACATTTTTCTTCCTTTATTTCTTCTCTTGATAATTCTCATCAACTTCTTCTCTACCCTTTCCCCCAAAAGAGACATGACAGGAAACAGAAGTGGCGAAAGGAAGGAGGAAAATAATGGATGATAATACAGCTTGGAGCTGGAGCTGGAGCTGGGTTGATCTTCCAAGGACATGGCTTTTTTTGTTGTTGTTGTTAGTTTTTCAACAAGGATGAGGGCATCCTCAGCCTTCTGTCTCCCTTAGCAAAAAAAAAAAGACAACTTTTCATGGCCCAGTATTAAAACAAGATGCTGAGCCCTACATTCAAAACTTACTGAGAATGCTGAGTGGGTGGGAGATGGGAGACATAGGCATAGGATCCTCCAAGGACAATGTCATACACCTTGCTTCTCCGGCAGGGCCCCATTCTGACTGAAGGCCCCTCTCATCATCTAGGTGGGGCCCCTTGAGAACAGGAGCTCTCTACCTATAGCAGGAAATGCCCTTCTATCTTCCTGTGAGGGATGGTTTGGCTCAAGAATGTGTGGGAAGCTGTAGGAAAGAGAGAACTGAAGCCTGAGAAAGGCTTTTGTGTGTGTGTGTGTGTGTGTGTGTGTGTGTGTCAGAGTCAGATCATTTTGGGGAAATCATCCTAGGTCTCGTATCCCTGTAGAGAGTTAAGGGCCTAGGAAATAACAGGCAATTCGCAGTACATTTCCTGTAGCAGGTGTGGCCCCAGAGTGGATTCCCTGGACATTCTATGCTGACTCCCAAGCTGCTGCCCCTCAGGTCCTGGAAAATAGATCTGGGCCGAGGAAAGACCTACATGGATTGTTGTCACCCTCCCTGCCTCAGCTCTGTGAGATCCAAGGAAGGGGCCCAGGACACTTATTCCCAAGAGGCCCAGAGGGAAAAGATGCCAAGTGCCCCACCCTGGAGTGTGATCATCTTAGAAGTTCTAAGGTGTTCCCAGTACAGAGGCGGAGACAGGAAGGAAACTAATTGGACAGAGAGTGAAAGATGGGGAATGGCTGACCAGTCCAGCTCCCACAGATCAGTCTGTACTCTTGTTGGCTAGCTAACCTCTGTTTCCCTATCACCTTGAAGTGGGAAAACCAAGATCCAATTTTCTAGAACTCCATCATAGCCACGGAGGTTCTCTAGCAGTATTTCACTCTTCTAAAAGAAGAAGCCTTCATGGGACTCAAAGGTCAGGGACTTGGGATCCTCTGTAGGTTCTTAATAGCTGGCTCCATCACTGTCCAGACACCCGATTCGATGATCAAGACTGGGCTGGGTGCTTAAGGCGCAAGCATGAGGAAGAAGCTTAAGATTTGCTTTGACTGTTGCAGACAACCATGCTGAGAGCAGAGCAAAAGTGAGTAGCAAGATCCCAGCCCCGCAGGGACAAAGAAGGACAGAGCTCCAATGAAACCAGCCCAGGGACATTCTTGGGTAGGTTTCCTAAGATCAGCCACAAAGAGTTTCAATTACACAGCCTGGTGGGTAAATGGGACATAGAGTGAATAGAAGTTCTTCTGGTACATCTTCAGAGATGTACATCTTCAGGGATGGCCAGGTTGATCTACACGGGACTCAGACCTTCAAAAGGCTTTCAATAATAGAAGCAGGTCCTCCTGCTCAGCTGGGGAGAATCCTCAGAGGGCAACCATGACAACTACTAGAAAGGGATGTGTAGTAGTTAATCTTGACTGTCAGAATAGAAACTCCCCTTGGAGAGCATGCCTGCTTGTCTGTGAGGACTTATCTAGATTAGGTTAGTAGAAGTGGGAAGACCAAGCCTACATATGAATAGCACCATTCCTTGGGCTGGGGTCTCAGGCTGCACAGAAAGAGGAACCCAGCTGAGTACCAACATTCATCCCTCTTTACTGGCTGATACACGTACAAGAAACGGTGTGGCCAGCTGCCTGGCCTTCCTGTTGCCGTGCCTTCTCTGCAGTGATGACCGGAAACCTAAATAACTCTTCCTCTTTTAAGTTGTTTTTCTCAGGTATTTTGTCACAGCAAAAAGGGAAGTAACTAATACTGGATGCCCCTCCAAAAGTGTCACAAACAAAAACAGAAAGTGGAGCCCAACTTCCTAACCCCACTCCCAGAATCCTCTGGGGCTCCTTTTCTACACTCCATATTTTGGAGCTAAGCTCTGTGTTTAGTACTTCAGATGCAACCTGCAGGCACTTTGCCATACCCATTCTTTTCTCCCTTCTATAAAAAGGCTGGAATTAAATTGATACCCAACCTCATCTCTAAGATGATCTTTCTTCATTTCTGAATACAGGAAAGAGCGGTATTCAGAAAGATGGCCCTAGATAGTTAAGAACACAACATCTGGGGGAGATGGGGCTGATGACATTCCACCAGTCATCACCTAATGGAGGCTGGAACCTGAGAACTGCACACCCACCTTTGGGAAAGGGGTCCCCAGGGCATGCTGGTTCCACCTGACCTCACTCAAGGTCACAGCTAACTGGGCAGAAGGGATACCCAATCGCAACATGTACCAATCAGATCCCTTCCTCTAAAAAGGCAGCAGGATGTTCTGAGTATTAGAATCTTACCACCTCTTACCAGCTGAGGGATTTCACTCAAGCGTAAGAAGGGCCCTGTTTTTGTCTCCTCATCGGGAGCATGGGAATAACAACAACACTGACCTCATAAAACGGTTATTTGGATTGTTTAAGAAAACAGTACATTTATAGTCCTTATGCCTGCACCTGGCAAACAACCAGAGACTGAGAAGTGTTAGCTCATCTTCCTGTTGCTGATTTAGGACTGGGACAGCATGGAGCCATCTGGGTAGTGTCTTTCTGGAAACAAACACCACGACAAGTCACATGTAATCTGATCCAAATAATTCCACATGGAGAGAAAGACCAAGTCCAAGAGCAACGAGGCAAGGCCACAAGAGACAGCATCACAGAAAAATAAGGGAGAATGATTCAAACAGAGGCCAGGAAGTGACCAGAGCTGGTGGCTCTGAGACCCATATAGGAGTTATAGGTCTATCTTGACTCAACTCTGGTAGATACTTTGTCATTACTTGTACTCCCTGGCTCCTTGACATAGCTGAAGATCACAGAAGGATGGCTTCTCACTACCTGGCACAAAAGTAAGGGAAGCTTACTTTTGTGCTCAAAACTCTGGGTTGGGTGCTGAGGACACAGCATGAGGAAAAAGCTTGACTGCTGCAGCCAACAGAGAATTCAGAGCAGAGGGAAGGCCCACCCTCACAGGGACTGAGAAGAAGGTCACAGCACCCAGTGAATCAGGTTCTAGGTCCCTTTTTCTCCCCTTACTACAATGCCAGCATAGAGTACAGCACTAGGGTCTGACAGGTGAACACCAAATGCATGAGCCAATGAACCAAGAAACATTGATGAACTAGTAGAAGAATGCATAGCTCAGCTACACACTGTTGTTAACCTCCTCCCATCTCCACCACCATAGTAGGATTATGCTTGCTGGCATAAGGGGCAGGCCTCCCCTAGAGCTCACCTGCAGAATGAGCAGCATTTGTACAATAGACGAGGGCAACTTGGACTGGGCCAACAGTAGTGAGTCACCCAGCTTCACCTTCAGCAGGACCAGGTCTCGGAAGCCCAGCAGGGAGATCTGGCGGATGGTCAGCTCCTGTCCCTGGGGAAGAAAACAGGTGGGAAGGTGAGAGGTGAGCATTTGCTGGGTTCCCACCAGACTCGAGTAGTCCAGGGGAAGTGTTCACAGTGTGCTCATGATGGGCTGGAACAGGCATATGCAAGGCCTGTGGGCTGTCACATAAGACCCAGGTCTTGTTTCTTCTGGCATTAAGACAGGGTATGGATCAGCCTGTTTAGATAACCCAAAGACACGTGTAATAGGGGCTGTACTGTCAGGGGATTCCCGTGGTTGGGAAGGAAGAAAAGAGAGGAAGGGAGGAGAAAGAGACAGAAAGATTACAACTCTCTCCCCACTTCAAGGCTGCTTTCTCAATCCCATCTGTTAAATACTGAAGTGCTCATCATAGGTCAGGCAACATCAGCCCTTACATGCTTATGTAAGATGTTAGCTTCTGACATAATCTCAAGTATCTAAGGAGGAAAAGTGTCTTGTAACTAGGAAGGGTGTCACTATTTCAGCTATTGGGGTAGTAGGCAAGAGATAAAAATACCAATGGCCACGAGAATTTGCATTGACTAGGTTGTGTGCTAGGCAGGACCCTAAGCATTGAGATTGAACAATGCATGGAGTCTCCAATTCTGCTGTGGTTTGTGTATCCTCTGCTGGAACCCTGGGACACCCTAGGGGCAATTTTTACAGTTTTGAGGACTTATTTGCATTTGTGTGTTACATGTGTGTGTGAAGGGTGGGATAAACATGACTAACCCCATGCTGTCTGTCTGGGGAGCTGGGGCCTAGACTCTCCTTGGAGACCTGACCATGCTGTCCTCTGTCTGTCCATGGTGTTAATAACCTTCTAATAGTCCTACTGCAGCAATCCTCAATGGTCCTCTCAAAGCCATCTGAGATACTGCAATGTATACCTCAAGGTTTTTTGTTTCTATAGCATTAGAATGATTATAAGTCACAAAAAAAAGATGCTTTTACTTGGCCTTTGTTAGGTCTGAACATATGTTCAGAAATGACATTCTTAGCTTAGCTGAAGCTGGATAAAGAAGAACTTCTGGCTGTTAGATAAAACCCAGCATTCCTGAGCAACTTGTGAAAAGGGTTTCCACCCATCAAAAAGGAGAAATTTCCCTTGCCTCTGGCAGAAGGGACATATGGCTCTCCATTGACATATACCAGGAGTTGTCCTGCATCAAAGCCCATGCTGGCCTCCAGGTTCCCTCAGTCCTTATTCACGAGTACTTGTTATATGTCTCATGGGCCTGCACTAGCCTTCTGACCCTTCTCATGCCACCACTACTCCTGCACTATGCCAGCCCCCAGGCTATTGCAGATCCCTTTATCATGGCAAGGGGTTTCCTTGTTGCCCCCTCCCCCATTCTCTACTATTCTCTTTCCCACTATTCTCTCTCTTGCTATTCTCCACACTTCCCCAGCCCATGTCCAGTCTGCTGCTTATTCTCTTGGCTCTGGACTCTTCTGGCTGCCTTTGGATGTTCTCTCTTTCTTATCCACAATAAAAACCTTCCCCCTAATCATGGAGCAGACATCTCGGTGACTTTTTTTGCTGTGCCCTTCCCACATGATTTTATTCTTTCACTACCTAAAATGTTGGGAAGCTTGGATTACCCACACTTGATAGCTAGATGGCTAGGGATGCAAGACCCAATACTAGCCCTCATTACTCTGTTTAGGCCAGGCCACTTGATGATACAGGATGGTGGGGAAAGAGAGGAACTATCCAACTTTTGTTCATAACCCCCTCTGTGGTATCTGTGGTAGAACTGCTTGGTTTAAATCATACAAGGCAGAGTAAGAGAAAAAGGCAGGTAAGGGCAAGCAGACTTTTACAAACGAGTCTGAATGGCAATCTGGAGGAATGAGGAGACAGCAAGGAAGAGGCAGGCAATTCCCCCACCAGCAACTGCAGAACTGCTTTGCATAACTGGTCTTTCTCAGGAAGCACCCAGAGGCCACCCAGGCACTGGGGGCCTTTCCACTTGCCAATCACAGAGATGACTCCTGGTACTTTGTCATTTTGTTTTGGATTTCATTTTTAAATCATTAGGTAATAGATATTTCCAGGCTACAATTCAATGTTTGGACAGGATTGGGGTAAGCAGAAGTCACCTTCTGTAGCTTTCTTGATAGCCATACATACAAGAAACCACTCTCAAAGGTTTAAGTTTGTTTTTCTAGAAAGATTTTTTTTATCTCTATTAAATTATACACATAACCTTCAAACGCACATAGAGACCATACTTTACATGCCTTTGTTTAGCTTAGTGTAACTTAGACATCTTTGCATATCAGCATACTTGGCTTCTCCCGTGCCCCAAATTACTTTAATGCCTGCCACATAGTGCTCTAATATATGAATATACTTTAACTGCTATTCTTTCAACTAAAATGCCTTCTATTCTACAACAACGATGTAATAAACATGTTTGTGCATGATCCTCTGGTCACTTGTTAATGTATCCAGATCACCACTACTCTTCCAAAGAAAACTTAACACTATCAAAATCCACCTTAAAAAGGGATGGGTAGATGATGTGTTAAAGTGAGTCCTAAACAAGTGTGAAGACTTGAGTTTGAGGCCCCCAAACCCACATTCAAAAGACCAGAGGTGGTCTGTAATCCTGGCACTGGATAGGCCCACATTCAAAAGGCCAGAACTGGTCTATAATCTTGATACCAGATAGGCTGAGCCAAGCAGATTTCTATGGCTCCCTGATCTAGCCAAGTCAGTGAGATAACAGGCTTGGGAAGACTCTGTCTCAAAAAGGGAAGGGCACCTGACATTGACCTCTGACCTCTACATATATGATCACATATGTATATGCAAGCACATGCGCACACGCTCTCTCTCACACACACACACACACATGTATTCACACTAACACATTTTATGAATACTGCCACATTAGCTTCTCAAAAGAATAAACTGACTCATGCTCCCAGTGAGTATCTGAGAGCACATTTTCTCACATAGATGACTGTTTGAGGGGTCAAAAATGGTAGACATTTCAAACCCACCTGCTTGGCCAGGTCAGAGAAAAACAGATCCAAACAATTAGGACAACCTCTCGTAGTGAACCCCCAAATCAACCTGCTTTACTATTGCCACTCCATCCTTCCCCATCCCATTTCCTTCCCAGAATGTTCTCAGTCATGCCTCTTGACAAGAAATGACTGCAGAGTATGGGCTAGCAGGAGGGTCACAGTACTCCCCTGGGAAAGATGAAAGACTGCCTTTGGGCCTTCCAAGCCTAAGACATATACAGAGAAGACACCTGGCTTAGTAAGACCAGAGGGCTATACAGTGTCAGTACCAAGCATCTTCCATGTTAAAATGGCCCTGAGCAGTTGTGTGAGATGCCACTTACCTTAGAACCATACTCAATTCTTCATACTTTCAACCCAGGCTGAAATATGAAACTTTACATCTATGGTCCCAGAAGCCAAAGGCTTTTTAATCACATGCAAAATCTGGCTTCTCATAATGTCACAAAATGCACTGGATGGGGAGAGATGAGGTACCCAGGATATACCAATAGAAACAAGTCAATCGCTACTTCCTGGGACTTCCATTCACAACCATTAACCAGGACCCTTGGGTATTCTCAGACTCTGATATGGCTCCCCTTCACAGTGGACCAGAGAAAGGATGTTTATTCAACCAAAAATAAAAGCAAGTCTGTTTCTGTCCTTGAAACAGAAAAATCACCTCTACCTCGGTGCCTGCTCCCGCCCCCTTTGAATAGTCCATCTTGGGTTTGAATCCATGCCTCTCCCACTCAATCTCAGTCAGCAAATAAAATGGCTCAGCCCAGGCAGATGCCCTTCAAGGTCAGCAGGGGAAGAAAGCAGCCAGGTGAGTGAGGGCCACTTAGTTGCTGGGGGGTGAGGAAGGTGAAATAAACAATACTTCATATTGTCAGTTCTTACTGCTTTTGAAGAAAATCAAAACAACCATCCTTGGGTCTGTAGGACTGTGTTCCTGCCTGGCTCTGAGCCCCTCTGTGCCCATCCTGACCCATGTTCCACATTCCATAGCCACCACCTTGTCCTGGAAGCTGCTACACAAGTGTCCCTGATTTGCACATTCCCTTCCTCTGGGGTTAAACAGATCAAAAACAAGACGACAGCTAAATTCTGTTTTCATATACATGTGTGTGTCGGAATCCATTACATGTCATTTATATAAAATTCAAGGTTAAAGCAACACCTAGCATTTTTATTTGCTACATCGGTGAACCCTACCCTCAGGTCCGTCTTTTCTGAGGACCTGCTGCTTGCTAAGGAGTGACAACAGCAAGGGAGGGGGCATCTATGGAGTCAGAAGCCTCCAGCAGCACTGGTTCAGACTGAAGATGATGAGAGAAACAGGCTACATACAGGCCAGGCTTCTGCATGCACTGTGTTGCAGGAGATGGGAGAGGCAGGTTGGTAATGGGAAGTGACATCACTAAACACACTGTTAAATATCAGGTATGGAGTACGAGCAATCCCACACTCTTTTAAAACACCGTAAGTGCAAACCATCTCCTGGGGCCTTTGCTGTGGAATGAGGAAATTCCAACCATTGCTGGTGGCTCTGTTTCCAGTCTGCTTATTACACTCACTCTTCAACAAAGCCAGACTAGGCAAAAGCATAACCTCAGGAGGAGGAGAGGAATGTGAGCAAGCTACAGGTATGTGAGAGCAATTTGGGAGAGGAAGACTGGCTGGCCAGCAAGGTTCAGAGACCTGCCTGTTTCCCCCACCTACTGAGGTTAGGATGTGCTGCTACACTAATTGTGATGAGGATCTGAATTCAGGGCCTCCTGCTTGCCCTGGCCAGCTTTTTCTGCTGAATAGCCTTCCCTAAATCACACATTCTAGAAAAATATTTATTATTGTTATTATAAATTATATATATATATGTATACACATACATACATATACATATATATATATAAATCATATGTATATGCTTGTGTTACTGTGTGGGTTTGTGCTTATAAGTGCAGGAGCTCAGGGAGTTCAGAAGAGGCCACTGGATGCCCTGGGACTGGAGTTACAGGCAGTTGTGGGCCATCAAACATGGGTGTTGAGAATGGCACCCAGGTCCTCTACAAGAACAGTACAAATCTTAATTGCTGTGCTAGCTCTCCAGCCATAAATCCCAATCCCACATGTTTCAGGGACTGAACGGTGCTGTGCACAAAGTTAAGTACCCCTGAACTAGCAGTCTAGAACTCCAGCCTGCCCAGGCTCCACCCAGCACTATTACACTGTGTAGCTCTTTGGGTGAGAGTCCCTCACAGACTGCAAGGAACAGCATCCTTTCCTATGACTTCAGGACAACAGTAACTTGCTTAAAATGTGTTTCAAGGGGACTGGGGGTGGGGGCAGGGGAGCAGCAGAGTGTAAGGGAGTGAATATGGTGAAAGTACATTGGACACCCATGTGAAGATATCCTAATGAACCAAGACGTTCTGGTCAGTGTATACGAATACAGTATTTTAAAGTTGCACTTCAAAGAGAATGACAGTGAGGAGAGGTGGGGTAGGAAAGAAGGAGAAGGAAAAAGAGAACCCACCCTGCTCAGTATAGATATCATCAAAACCACAAGCATAACAAGAACTACAAATTGTTGGTTATATATAAGACTCTCTTTACTTGAAGTTAGGGGCTAAATATAGACCCAGGGAGTCCTCAGAAGCCCTCCAGGGCCCTTTCTAACCAAGGTACCCACGTCTAGACTGTCCCCCTCTTAACAAGAGGCCTGATCACCCAGGTCAGTAGGGAGACAGGCTGTAGCATCCCAGTGACACTAACCTGAACCGGATAAAAAATTGCCTGCAGGGTGGGGAGAGTCTCGGTGAAGAAGTGGTCCCAGACTTCAGCCAGAACCTCAATGCGACTGTCACCTACATGCGGGAAAAGACGGAGAAAGAACAAAAGATGTCATTATTCACAGGGGAGGGCACAGGACAGCTCCTCCTCAAATGTGAAGTCACAGACTCTAGGGAACTTATAGCCTGGAGCTGCCAACACCTAGAGATCACAACCACAGTGTACAGGGTCTTTGTCCCCGCTAAGGCCATCAGAAGATTTCCTCTTAGGATATACACACAGCAGTTGAAATTCAGTTTCACTAGTGAGATCCTGGAATGTAAGCTGAGGAATGGTCTCTGCAGGAACAGTGAGGGAGTGTTTAAGCCACGAAGTGTGACACCACTTAGTGTAGCATGAGGTGGTACCAAGGGTTCATATGATGGAAGTCCAGGCCCCAGTATGGTGTGTGAGAAGTGGAGTTGCACACTTGTAATCCCAGTACTTGGACATTAGAAGCAAAAGGAGCATGAGTTTGAGACCAGCCAAGGCTATGTATAGTGAATTTGAGACTAGCCTGTGCTCTGTAGCAAGAATGGCAGAGACAATCTTTAAGAGGTGTGACCCAGTCAGAGGTCACTAACAGCTCTGCCCTTGAAACAGACTAATGTCAGGCTACAGACTGAGAACCTTTGGAGAGAGTTTTGAAGATGAGCTGGTCTCTGGTTTCTGCTCTGGCTTCCTGGCTTCCCATGTGATCCCTTCCACACTTGCCTACCACCACAATGCCACCCACCATAAGGATCCTACCAGAGGACACACCAAAATGTTTGAGCCTCCAAATCAGTGAGCCAAGTCAACTTTTTATTTATAAGGTGACTGTGAGTAGTTTGTTATAGCAAAATTCAGGTGGGAAGCCTCAACTGAAAACACACAAATGTGCGTTTCTATCCCCAAACTCAGAAGGGGAGGTGAAGATTTTAAATCACATGATCAATATCCATAAGTGCTTACAGCATTTTCAGACACTGCTAAACTACTGATCAATATGAAGTGAGTAGACCCTCTTACAGGCTCAGAGATAGCAAGTAACTAGGCTAATAACACACAGTTCAAAGGAAAAGTTGGGGTCCCAGACCTCATAGTCTTTATCTAATTGGTCTGAAGATTGTTTCCACAGTTATATACTGCTCCATTTGCACAACTGTTTTACACTGCTGTTTGCACAGTTGTACATTGATCTGTGTGGTAATATATTATTTATAATTTATTAAAGCTTGTCTGAGGATTCAGAAAGCAAAGTCAGCCACAAGCTCTAGAGGTCAGGCAATAGTGGTACACACCTTTAATCCCAGGATTCGAAGACAAATGCATATGGATCTCTCTGAGTTCAAGGTCACCCAGGGCTACCTGAAATTGACTTAGTCTAAAAGAGCAACAGAGCCCATGCCTTTAATCCCAGGGCTCAGGAGAGGTATTTAAGACAGGAACAGGGTCTCAGAGCTGGCATTCATTCTCCTGCCATGCTGAGGAGAGGTAGCAATCTGAGGCTTGATGAGAGCTCATGGAGACAGGATCAGCCCTTTCAGCCTGAGATAGAGGTAAGAGCTAGAGTCTGGCTGCTTTGCTTTTTTGAACTTCAGCTTGAAGCATGAATCCCAATATCAGTCTCTGGGTCTTCTTCTTTTTATGCTATGGATCTGTTTGCACAGCTGTACGCTGTTCTTGTAGTTATATATATACTACTGTTTGCACAGTTGTACATTGAACTGTTTGCATAGTTGCATACTCCCAACCTGATTCTGGGTTTGAGCTGTCAGGTGAGAAACAGAAAGAAGATCTGCAGTATCACCTTCACCCACTGTTGCACTGTAGCTGGGAGGCACCTCCTGCCTGTGCCTGCTCATCCTTGTCACCAGGAAGTCAAATGCCACCCACAGGCTAAAGTATACAGGTCACCTCATGCCACTAAAGGGATGTGAGAGGAGAGAGCCCGGTTGAAGTGGCAGCTGCTTAATGACCTAGATGTCAGAGCTCATGGGCTACTGTCTGCTCATTGTAAGCAGAGAAACTGGGTCAGCCAAGACAAGACACGGAGAGACGTGTTTGGCACAACACCACTAGCTCCATGGAACGAATCTTGATAGACTCATTTAGCGTCTTCTGTCTATTAATTTAATGACCAATAAAAGCAGTGTCTGGGAAGAAAGCACAGAACAAGGGCACAGCTAGTTGCTGGCAGCTGCTGAGAGAGCTCAGGGTGGATGCAGACCTGTGCCATGCTCTGCTCTCCCCGGCAAGGCACTAATCACACGCTTCTGGAATGAATTGTCCTCAGTTAGAACTTGAGAGGTTGAGATAGGTTTGTTCCTCTTACATTTTAGGTTCAGAGCACCAAGACAGACACATCAATAAGCTACTATGTAAAGGCCTTCATGGTGAAGAATGGTAAGTGACAAATGTGTATGTTTTTGCACATGTCAGGTCTCTCAGAGGCAGGAGGTTCCTATCTGATCCAAATAGCTGACATTACAGAGCAAGCCTTTCAAAAGTTAGTAGGAACATTCTCTGTTTTCTCTTAGGAGAAAGACACTTTTACAATGTGGACTATACAGCTAAGAGGCTCTGTCTTCTTCTCCTGGGTTTTCATCCTCAGCTAGGTTTCCCTTGGTCTTTGGACTATGGCTACACAGGTTTGAACTCAGTCCCTCTTACTCATCAGGCTTCTTCATACCACAGAACCTTCGCATATGAGAATTTCTCTATCCAGACTTCTCTTTCCCTCCCTCTTTGCCTAACTCACCTATTAGTCCTCCTCGTTTCTGTTCAGAATTTATTTTTACAGGTGGTTACAATCTCACCCAAACATTTACACACAACTGACATACTAATATTTGGTGATTTGACTCATATCTGCTCCCATTTCCAGTTTAGCAGCCTCAGAGTCTAGCGAAGGACCTGGCATCCAGTAAATGACTGATCGGCCACACAGAACCATTTTTTTAGGTATAAATAATATTCATCCACTGCAGGGATGAAGTGGGGAAATCAAAGGGTCATATCGTTTCCTAAATCCAAACTGAACCCCGAAGAGTAAAGGCTGTTCCGGGTGCTTCATCCATAGTGCTCATCTGAAGCCTTGTACAATGAAGGGAAGGAGGGAGAACCCTGTGGTGCAAGACTGTGCCTCCTTCCATGCTAACTAGGCTAGAGGCCTCATGGATGCATCAAGGAGTCCTCCCACCCTGGAGCTAGAACCTCCCACCCTTCTGGAAGGCTGGATCTGACTGATGGCTATAAAGGTCAGGAAGGAAAGAAGGTTCCAGAAAGTGTTCTGTGAGAGCAGCAAGCACAGACAAAAAAAAAAAAGGAAGAAAGAGGTAAAGGAAACAGGTAACAGGTAGCTTCATTTCCAAAAATAACCTACAAGTTAGAGTCAGCTCCCTACAAAGGTGAAGGCTTGGATGGGAGGTTCTAGATGTCTGTCATCAAATCTGCCCTCTGATGTACCACAGGAGTTAGATCAGCAGCAGCACACAAGTTGCTATCAAGAAGCATCCTGCAAAGCAAGGGCAGTACAATTGCAGAAAAGACTGACAACAACACGGTGTCCCCTGTCTACTAGCTGTTATCAAGTACAGCTGAACACAATAATAAATCCAAGTACAAGCAGAAAGCTGCCAGGGACCTTCACCTAGCAAAGACACAGGGCACCCTGGTTATGCTCGAATTTTATTTTTTGTGACACAAGAACCTTTTCAACCAAATAAAACCTTTCTTGAAGTTCTAATATATGAAATCAAAGAGTAGAATCATTCTGTTTGAAGATAAGGATGTCTCTTAACTGTCCCCCTGTGCCTGTTCAGTGTGCAGAAAGAGCTCCAACACCACAGGCGCGAGGTTAGGAAGCCTCATGGAAATGCCTGCAATGAATCCCCGGGTCCCTGGCCATGCTTTGGGTTTACAGGAATAAAGTCTTGGATGATCTTTGGTCATCCCATCTAAGCTCTATCTCTGAGTTTCTACTCTTGAGTTCATCTCTTCTGAACATCCCTTGACCCCTTACTTCCTGATCTAAATCTTATTCACTGCCTGCTTCATGGAGTTGGTTTTACCCATTTCCAGTTGTAATAGCTGTAATAACTTCCCAGAAGACTGACATACAAGCAGTGTGGCCAGGGACAAATACTTCTTGTCCCTCCCTTGACTGGAGGGCTACCTTCCATATCTGTATGCAAACCTGACTCCAGATACAAAGAACTACTAACTTCCTGATAAAAAATAAGTCACCACTGATGGATGAATGGATGTAGAAAATGCTCTCTCGCTATATACTGGAGTATACGACTTCAAAAACACATGGTGTCTTCTGACATGTCACTTACAAAAACACAATTATTGTATGATCCCTCTTAGTCAAAACTCTGGAAGCAAGGTGTGGATGGCAGTTGTGGAAACCTGAGTGTTCAATGGTATGGAGTTTCCAGTTTCAAGGTAAAGAATTGGAGGCCATAGCACAGAGATGAGGAAAATCAGCTCTGCGAACTGTGATGTAGTGGGAGGGAGACATTTTCTATCACGTTTTTATCACAATTTCAAATGACTTTAATTTTAAGTTGTATATGTGTGTGGTTTGTGAACCACATGTATACATGTGTGCAGGTGCCCAAGGAGGCCAGAAGAGGGAGTCGGATATCCTGGAGCTGGAGTTACAGGAACTAGTAAGTGCCTGATGTGTGTGCTAGGGACTGAGCCTAGGTCCTCTGCAAGAACAGCAAGCATCCTTCCCCAGGAATCTCTCCTGTCCCAATTTCTAAGAATTAGCCTTGGTTTTGTTGCAGGATACTTATATACTGTGTGAAGATGTATTGCTGTGACTGGTTTAATAAAAAGCTGATTGGCCAATAACTAGGCAGGAGAGGTTAAGTGGGACTTTTGGGCAGAGAAGAACTTGGGATGGATCTAGGCACGGGTATTTCACCAAATAGACATGGAGGAGTCAGACCTACAAAATGAAGGAGAGATAAAGAGCCACATGGCAGAGCATAAATTAATAGAAATGAGTTAATCTAAGTTATAAAAGCAAATTGAAACAAGTTTAAGCTATAGACTAAATTTTCATAATTAATAATAAGTCTCTGTTTCATTATTTGAGAACTAGTGGTCCAAAGACAGACTGACAAAAAAGTCGAACTACATGTTTTAGTGGATATTTACAGATTTAGGGAAACAAAAATCACAGCCTAAATGTAGTCCAGAGGGAAAAAAACGTGTGTGCACATGCATGCAAGCATGTGTAAAAATGCCTTCCACTGGATATAATGTCCTCAAAGTTCATGCATGCTATCACATGCCAGAAGGTTTTTGAAGCTGTGTACTCCAATATATGGCTAGGTACAGCCCTATAAAGTCTGAATCTAGACATCCATTTGACCTGTACTGAGGTCATAAAGCTAGAGCACAAAGGAAGGGGAGACTGACTGTGCAGAGTATGGTGTTGTATGTACCCTGTAGTTACTACAAGCCCTTACCCATATTTCAGAACTTCAAAATGAGATTCTATGAGCTGGGGATGTAGCTCAGTTGCCTAGTATGCACAATGCCCTGGTTTTCATCTTTAACACAACACAGACCAAGTATAGTGTTGCATGCCTGTAGTCCCAGCACTTAGGAGATGGAGGCAGATGAATGAGAAGTTCTGCTGGGTAGGAAATTTGAGGCCATCCTGGGATACAAGAGCTCAGAGGGAGGGAAGGAGAAAGAGACAGAGAGAGAGACAGAGAGAGAGACAGAGAGAGAGAGAGAGAAATTTGGCAAAAGTCACTGGAGAATTTAGCAACAAGCTAAGCTGAGTCCCTAGAGGCCCTTGATGGGATTGAAGGGGTAGCCCGTTCTTTCCTCTGAGACTAACTTCCTTCTCAAGTAGTCGGTTTCTTTCCATCTAGTCACTTGGGTTCTAGAACCACAGACAGACCAGGAAATGGCTCTTCACCTGTCAGACCATATCCCATTGAGTGGGAGCTTGCTTGTCCTAATGTCCCCAGATGAGGAGACACTTATGTCTACTGTGATTCCAAGAAAAATATTGCAACAATGGATGGGGAAGAGCCTGGAGCAGACCAGCCGCATCTATGGTAAAGCAGCTGCCTGTATCCCTTCAAAGGACACTACCTGGACACACCCATGGAGACCCCTTTCCCCAGTCTCTGTCACCCCCATCCCAGTGCATTTTTGCAAGGACAGTCTGGGTTGCACAGACAGGGGGTACTGGTTCAGAGCACTGAATGCAGCAGGAGGCAGGGGTGACTCACTCACTAGGAGTCTGCTGCTTTTGGACACGAGTGTCTCAGCTGTGCAAACATCAGAGGCTGAGTCACAGCCCCGTGCACCAGGGCCTTGTACTTGCCTTCACACTGCTTGATCTTCTCCTCCACAAAGGACAGTCCTTTTGCAAGAAGCTGGTTCTGCCAAAAGAGAACAAAGAGCACAAGAGCTGGGAGGCTCTGAGGGGGAGTGACCAGCCTTCCTCAGATTCCAGCCCGCAGCACAGACTTTCCAGGCCTGTTGTGCCAGTCAGGCCTTTAAATTTAAGAAGCCCTTTGTCCTCCTGGAAGGGCAAGACCTCAGAGAAAGACTGTGAGACATCAAACAGCCAAAGGGAAGTAAGCCAAAAGCCAAATGCAGTCACCACCCAACCTCTCAAACTAAGAGACACAGAATGGGTACAATTCACTGCTGAGCCCAATGTCCTTGAAGCCCTTGAGGACTTAAACGCACATGGACAGCCTAAACAGATGGAAAACCAAACAGAGATTATTTTTCATCTTACTAAGTTCAAAGGCAGGTGTGGTGGTATATGTCTTTAATCCTAGAACTTGAGAGGCAGAAGCAGGTAGATCTCTGTGAGTTCAAGACTAGCCTGGTCTATGCAATGAGTTTCAGGACAGCCAGGGCTACAGAGAAAGACCCCCCTCCTCAAATAAATAAACAAATAACTTTGGGGAAGTGGGAAGGTGGCTCAGTGACTCTGCTCCACCAAAGGACCCAGGTTTAATTAAATCCCCATACCCATATCATGTGGCTCACAATTGCCATTAACTCTAGCTCTAATGGGATCCAACCCCTCTGGCCTCTGTGAGTACCTGCTCTTATTGTGCACATACTTCACACACACACACACACACACACACACACACACACACACACACACACACAAATTAAAAAATTAAAAATAAATTTGAGGGTCCTCACTCTGGGGGTTTCTCACACATAACACACTAGAAAGATCTCATATGCAAACTCTTAGGCAGCCGTGATTATATGTCCAGCAGCAATGGGCTGTGCATGGGAGAACTGCACAGAGAGTCAGGCTAATTTTTCCGGTCACAACCAGCGAATACTTCGTCACACTTCAGCTCAGTCACTGGGAGCTGACCTCACTTACCAATGGCTACAGCCCATAGGAGACAAAACCGCCCTTCCTGGTTCCAGAAGTTATGCTCTTTCACTCTGTTTCACGTCCCTAACACAGAGAACCACCCCTGTGTGAGCCACAGAAACTCTGAGACCACTGATGGCCTGGTAGCTCTCCAGGCCTCCCTCATTAGGTTACCAAAGACTTGTGCTCCATCCTGGGGAAGGCAGAGAGCAAAGGTGGTATACAAACAACAAAACCCAATACTCTCCTCACACTGCCCTTTATAACACCACAAGTTGCTAAGACGGTTATCTTAGAGTTTCTCCTGCTGTAATGAAACACCATGACCAAAGCAACTTGAGAAGGAAAATGTTTACTTGGCTTACATATCCTGAGTCACAGTCTATTGATGAAATTCAAGGCAGGAACTCAAACAAGGCAGGATCCTGGAAGCAGGTGCTGATAGAGGCCTCGGAGGGGTGCTGCTTACTGGCTTGCTCCTCAGGGCTTGCTCAGCCTGCTTTCTTATAGAACTAAGGACCACCAGCCCAGAGATAGCAAAACCCACAATGGGCTGGGCCCTCCCTCATCAATCACTAATTAAGAAAATGCCCTATAGTATATATAGCTTGCTTACAGTCCAATTTTATGCAGGCATTTTCTCAATGCAAGTTCCCAGCTCTCAAATGACTCTAGCCTGCATCAAGTATACATTAAAAAAAAAAAAAAAAAAAAAAAAAAAACTAGTCAGCAGAACAGTGATGATGGCAGGGTATGTAGACAAGTGAGAAGAATGTGTGTACCATGTAGGTTTAGGTCCTGTTTAGCTACTTTATGTATTTATTTAGTTTGCTGGTCAGTTAGTTACAGAGTCTCACTACTAGCCCAGGCTAGTTTCAAACTTGTAACCTTCTTTCTTCTGCCTCCTGACTACTGGGGTAACAAGTATGTGCCTCCAGCCCCTCCTAGCTTTCACTAGTTCTCTTCTTTTTTTTCCCCACTAACTGAATTATTTTATTGTTTTGAATTGGTTTTAGTATACCCTAATTTTAAAATATTATTTGTAATTACATGTCTGTGTTTGTCTGCGTAGGAGTGTGAACACATGAGTATAGTTCTCACAAAGACCAAAGGCATCAAATCCCCTGGAGCTGGAGTTACTGGCAGTTGTGAGTCAACCAATGTGGGTGGTAGGAACTGAACTTGGGTTCTCTGCAGGAACAGTAGGACTTTTAACTGACATGCCATCTCTCCAGCCCCATATTTTAAAATTTTAATGGACACATAAAATAGTTCTGTATTTGTGGCCTTTAAATTCACATGTGTAAAATGTGGTGATGAGCTCACAGGAACTGGCATATCTCAGATATTTAACATTTCTTTGTGTTGGGAACATTTAATACCCCCATTATCATGTCATGATACCACTGGCATATCACTAAATTGTTACAAAAGCTAATGACTATAGACATGTACCATTGTACATCCTTAGTAATTAGTGATAGAGGTAGCAACAGATTACCTAGCATGTTCCCAGGAGAAAGAAGTAAAGAAAGTCAGTGACAAACAGGACTTTACACTGAGGAGGTTTTGGAGGAGTGTGTGTGTGTGTGCGCGTGTGTGTGTGTGTGTGTGTGTGTGTGTGTGTGTGTGTGTGTGTGTACATGGGTCTGTGTGTGGTGCACTTGCCTCCCTTCTTGACATATTTTTTTGAGACACGGTCTCTCAACTAATCTAAAGATCACTATTTTCTATAAGAGCATTTAGCCAGCAAGACCCCAGCATCCTCCTGCCTCTGCCTTTCCCACACTGCAGTTACAAACACACACAAGCAGGCCTGGCTATTTCATGGGTGTTGGGGAACCAAACTCAGGCTTGCACAACAAACACATTATCCACTGAGCCATCTCTCCAACCTCTGTATCAAGACAGTTAATCAAAAGCACTATTACATTTCTGTGACAGGTACACACGATCCAGAATCTAAAATCCCACCAAGACTCAGAGATGACCCAATTTTAAAATGTAATTGGCCACTGTTTAATTCCAAAATGGCATATGGAACCTCAAATCACAGTTCAAATAACACCATACTGGAGCATAACAATTTTGTTAGAAGGGGGAAAAAACTGCCCATCACAAAATACTATGGACTGGGCAGGCAATTATAACAGAGCCCCAACCTGTTCTCCAGCTCTGGTCCAGCAAATGTATTCTGCCTGTGGGTCAGAAAGCAAGAACACAGCCTGAAGTCAGCTGGTTTAACCTCCTGGCAGGCAAGATGGATGTGATAGATTAGTCAGATGAGGGGAAAGGACAGTCACTCCACCTGAGCACAAATTCCACTGTGATCTTGGAGTCTGTCCTAATCCTCCCTGAGTCAGTGCAGGTTCTCAGAATGTCACCTCTGCACTGTTCAAGATTCCTGATGTCAATACTGGTACCCCAGCCTTTCCCCAGAGCAAATCTGTAAGCTCCTCTTAATCACATTTCCAAGACACATACATATTCAAGTGCAACCAAGACTCTTTCAAAGAGGGGCTTACATCATCTTGTTCTTTCTCTCTAATTATCTACACTCAGGGAAGCAGCACCAAGCTAGGATGCTGAAGGAAATTTAAAAAACAAAAATTACTCCAGGTTATAACATGAATTTATAAATCCTTCTCCAGGGCTAGGGACATATATCAGTAGGTAAGAGGTACATGCTAGACAAGTAGGAGGACCTAAGTTCAAAGCTCCAGCATTCATGTTGCCAGGAGTGTGGCAGTAAGCATATGCTTCAGGGGGTTGGGGCAGGAAGCACTCCCTGAGGTTTGCAGTCTGCCACTTTGCTCCAGTTTTAGTGATAGATTTAGCCACAAAGGATTAAAGTGGAGAATGCGAGACAGACATCTAACATCTTCTGGCTTCAACATGCACACAGGCACATGAACATACACGCACATCCACGAATACTCGGGATATAATACACACACACACACACACACACACACACACACACACACACACAAAATATATCCATTAGGCTTTTAGACCCTAAGGATAAGAACCACGTCTAACTTTAGTACTCCACTCCCAGCACGACGTTGGGTGCAGCTGGTGCTTGGCAAATCTTTGTTGAACTTAACTGCCTATTTTGGTGACAAGAATTATTTTGTATTTCTAAGGAGTCAAGATAAGAAATAGAATGTTTTTAAGGGGCTGGGGGAGGTGACATAGGGTCCCTAAATCTGTCACCATTTTCTTCATTTGGTAAAAATTCCTTTGCCCAAATCAGAAGGAATAAATTCCAACAGATGGCCCAGAGCCTCCTTCCTGGCCCTTAGTCTTCTCCCTTTGTGGAGATATTGGAAGGAAAAATGTGTGTTTCCAAGGAAAGGGAGTTATTTCTGGCTTGGGGGGGGAAATGACTGAAAACATTCTTTCTAAGGCTCTCATGATACACAGCATGGAAATTCTGTAGCTTGGACCAAAACAAACAAAAGTGTGGGGTCTGAAGGAGCCGTTCAGGTCATCCCTTGCCTGTCCCTGCTCGGAGTCTGTGGTCGCCATAGTCTGCTCACACACAGATTTGCTGATATTTAAGAGGCTCCATTTTCCCAGAAGCTGAAGCCCTCTGAAAAGCATGCCTGCCACAAACGCTTTGATCTCCCAGTAACTGAAGTTAGTTAGGTTAGAGTTTCCTTCCCCAGACTCCAACCCACAGGAATGCAGCTCAGATTCCACTAGGAATCCTTCCTCCAGTGCCTGCTGAATCCTGCAGGGTTCTCGGGGACAGCCAAGCACCCCGCTTCCCTCCTCTGGAGAACTGCTGCCTTGACCCCTTCTCATTCACACACCAATTTGACCACAGCCATGCTCTCTGCTCAGCTGCCAGGTCTGCTCCTGTCCCCAATGCCCCTCCTGGGACCCCAGGGATCAAGTCTTCCCTCCAGTGAATCTGCAGTTACACATCTGCACCCCCGTGAATGCTGTATCCCTTAGGGCCTAGCATCTGAAGGGTGGCACAGCGGGAGTTCAGTATTCCACAGTTGCCATCTCTAA